AGGATGAGTTTGTATTTTTTGTAGGGACATGGATGCAGCTGGAAACCATCATTCTCAGCAAACTATCGCAAGAACAGAAAACCAAACACCGTATGTTCTCACTCATAGGTGGGAATTGAACAATGAGATCACTTGGACTCTGGAAGGGGAACATCACACACCTGGGCCTATTATCGGGAGGGGGGAGGGGAGGGATGGCATTGGGAGTTATACCTGATATAAATGATGAGTTGATGGGTGCTGACAAGTTGATGGGTGCAGCACACCAACATGGCACGAGTATACATATGTAACAAACCTGCACGTTGTGCACATGTACCCTAGAACTTACAGTATAATAAAACAAAAAAAACAAACAAAAAATTGTGACCCAAGTCACATAAGGAGTTACCAATGGAAGAGTTGCTGAACTCTTTTCATTACTAACCAACAATGCAGCATGTGCAACAAAATTCTAACTTTCAGCAACTTTCCAATACATCCAAAAGAAGAAAAAAATCTCAAAGATAAAATATTTAAACTGCTCAAGAGGGCCTCAAATATAAGATCATATACATTTTGGGAGGCAATGTATCAAAGTAGTTAGGAGAGTGGGCAATGGGGCGTAACTGCCAGGGCTAGAGTCCCACTTACTAAGCTGTGTAACCACTCTATGCCTCAGTTTCTCCATCTGTAAAATGGGCAAAATAATAGTAACTACCTGCAGAAGTTGTGATGATGAATGATGTGATATATGTACAGTACTCAGAACAGTGCCAGAACCAGTCTATATGAGTAGTAGCTATTATTTTTCATCATAAAAATATCACTAAAATTTTTTCAGATATAGTTAACATATCCTTTAATCAGGCATTTTATGGATTTCTCTTACTATTTCGTTTAGAAAGTCCAATTTAATTGTACAAAATGTTTTATCATTTTATTCATTTTTATGATAGGAAAAGAGCATTTTTAGGGAGAAATGCAAAGATCAGAGATACACTACTCATCACCTACAGGTGAAGTTCTGCATGAGTAATAGTTTGGGTCAGAGTTTAGCAGTTCCACCAAAAGCAAATGCAACATAAACAAAGATAAATAGATGAGACTTAATTCAACTAAAAAGCTTCTGCACAGCAAAAGGAACAATCAGCAGAGTAAACAGACAACCCACAGAGTGGGAGAAAAAAACAGACAACCCACAGAGTGGGAGAAAATCTTTGCAATCTACACATCTGACAAAGGACTAATATTCAGAATCTACAAGGAACTCAAATCAGCAAGAAAAAACAATCCCATCAAAAAGTGGGTTAATGGCTGGGGAGTGGTGCTTCACTCCTTTAAACCCAGCTCTTTGGGAGGCCGAGGTGGGCGGATGACCTGAGGTCAGGAGTTTGAGACCAGCCTGGCCAACATGGCAAAAACCAATCTCTAGCTTGGCATGGTGGCGGGCACCTGTAATCCCAGCTACTTGGGAGGCTGAGGCAGGAGAATCGCTTGAACCCAGGAGGTGGAGCTTGCAGTGAGCCGAGATCATGCCATTGCATTCCAGCGTGAGCGACAAGAACAAAACACCTCAAAAAAAAACAAAAACAAAAACAAAAAAAACAAAAGGGTGGAGGGTTGCTAAGGACACAAATAGACAATTCTCAAAATAAGATACATAAATGGCCGACAAACATGAAAAAATGCTCAGGAAAATGCAATGCAATGATCAGGGAAATGCAAATCAAAACCACAATGTGATACCACCTCACTCCTGCAAGAATAGCTGTAATCAAAACATAAAAAAAAATAGATATTGGCGGGATGTAGTGGAAAGGGAACACTTCTACACTGCTGGTGGAAATGTAAATTAGTACAACTATGGAAAACAGTGTGGAAATTCCTTGAAGAACTAAAAGTAGAACTGCCATTTGATCCAGCAATCCCACTACTGGGTATCTACCCAATGAGGAAAAGAACTCATTATACGAAAAAGATACTTGCCCATGCATGTTTATAGAAGCACAGCACAATTTGCAATTGCAAAAATATGGGACCAGCCCAAACACCCATCAATCAATGAGTGGATAAAGAAAATGTGGTGTATATATACCAAGGAATACGACTCAGCCATAAAAAGGAATTAAATAATGGCATTTGCAGCAACTTGGAATAATGGTCTCCAATTCCATCCAAGTGAAGTAACTCTTCAGGAATGGAAAACCAAACATTGTATGTTCTTACTCATAAGTGGGAACTAAGCTACGAGGATGCAAAGGCATAAGAATGATGAACTTTGGGAATTTGGGGGAAAGGGTGGAGAGGGGTGAGGGATAAAAGACTACACCTTGGGTACAGTGTACACTACTCAGGTGATGGGTGTGCCAAAATCTCAGAAATCACCATTGAAGAACTCATTCATGTAACCAAACATAACCTGTTCCCCACAAACCTATTGAAGTAAAATAAAAAATACAAGAGATGAAAAAAAATCCCAAAGTTTAGTGGTTCCAGAAGTACATTTTACAAATGACCTCTAAGTAAAACATTACTGAAATGTTTCCATAGAAGTATTACAATTTCTTTCATTTGGATTTTGATGTAATTATCAAATATTGCTATATTTTCAAAACTTACCTGATATAGTCGCTACTTTAACTAATGTCCCATTTTCCTTCCAGTGAACATCATCAATTCCCTCAAAAAAGCAGGCAGCGCCTTGATTACACCAGAAAGGGGCATCCATTTCAGGTCGGAGATGGGGAAATGTACAGTTGCCAAGTTGGAAGAGTTCATACCATTCCATTGTGTAGTTCTTGCCAGTTAATGTACTCCTGAATCCAATGGCATCATGCATAATTTTCTGTGTAAACACAATACACGTATAAAAGCAACTGAGACATAACCATGGGTCCAGGTAACCTGATAGGAGAAAATGTGGCACATCACAAATGCATATCAAGTAGAACAGCTGTTCAGCTGTTCTTCCATGCTGCTATTGTCATATCCACTCTGTGGCCCCAATCTCCAGGCCCTCCTCCACCCTGGCTTTGGTCCCTACAGCTCATTTCAAATAGGAGGCATGCATATTATGTGGACAAGCTCGTAATTTCCTCAGAGCTTAGAATAAGTGTGCGGAGCCCCCTGCCGGTCTCCGGAAGGAGCTCTACAGACCTCGCGTGGTGATGGGTTAACCTGGAAAAGTAACTACAACAGGGTCTGGAAATCAAGAGGTGCTTTCTGCCTACCCTGCCCCTTTTGGGCCTCTTCTCATCTTCCAGGAGCTGGATACAGGAGCTAGATTCAGATTCATAATATTTGATATTGGTGATTACATTTGTTGTCAAGATTATAAAATCTAATAGTAACTATTTTTGACTACTCATTTTAAATGTACTAAGAGAAACACCAACATGATCTAAAGTCAGCCATCTAAGTAGTGATTACTCCCTAAAAATCAACTTAATAACCAAATCATTGAATTAACCAAAGTTGTAAGACCAAGATGCATCCTTACCAAGTGTCCCAGGAGGTCTCCATATTTAAATTCCCATACTGGGGCTTGTAATCGAAAGACTTCAATGTCATCATCACCCTCCATAACTGGGATAGGTGAGCCAGTTGGACAGAAAGTATATTTAGCTTGACAATAAGGATCAGGTTTTGGACGGGAGTCAAAGCGTCTAATAAAGAAAAAGAAACCATCTACTTAGATTCCAACAGGAATTTGATTCTTCTCCCATCTTTTAGAATCCAGTAACATTTTTAGGGGACCATTCAAAGGTCAGACCATAGTTAATAAATATAAACATACATTTTGTTATCTTGTGAACAAACTTCCAATAATCTTTTTAATAGCAAATGATAAACTCAAAGCACTCTGATAAATCCAGGCTTCCCTGTTGCCACTGTGAAAATTTTGAAGACAGGAATCCTGTCTTAAAATTTTATAGCTCCAGGTCATAGTAGACATTTGCAAATGTTTACAGAATAAATGAACATTTTTCCAATGTGTTCAATTTTACAAACAATCCATACATTAAGATTATTCAGATGATTATGAGTAATAGTATATATTTTATATTTACTTACGAATTAACATTCATTCAACCAATATGTATTGAGGTTCTACTAGGTATATAGGGAACTATGGGAAGAAGGAGGGAAACAGAAATTAAGACACTGTTGCTTTTCTCACGGAACTGTGAGTGGGAGCTGCAAAGACATTAAACAAGTAATGAGTGTGGAATGTGCTAGACTAAAGAAAGGAGTTCTACCCGCACAAAGGAAGGACAAATCATTGTTAACCAGGTATGGGATGAATGGGGTGGGGAGGGCAAAGAAAGAGATGAAGGCCGGGCCTACGTTTTTAACGTACTTGGCTAGAAGGTTAAGACAGAAAGGCAAAGGAAATATTAAGTATTATAAGACAAGCCTGGCACATTTGGTCTCCGCTAGGTACGGAAGACTAGGATTCAGGCTTCAATGCACGAGTGGAGACAGAAGAGACTGGCAGGGGCTGTCATTCTGTCACTAGGAGAATGTGCATGGAATTCCCTGCCTTACAACTGGGGGGAGCTAAGCTTAAAGGATGTTAAGTAGCAGATCTGATAGGACTGAATTTGCTATAAAGTAAACCTTATTTCATGAATTAAAAGAGGGTAGGGAGAGAGGCCCAATTAAACATGAGAGATCAGTTAGAAGGTGACCTCAACAATGCAGGCAAGAAAAGAAGACCGGAGAAGGCCATAGCAATAGGACTCGAGGAGCACCACAGTTGAATTCAGCTCAGCAGACACACTGGTCACCCATAATCTGGCATTGGGAAAGAAGGAAGTGGTGGCGACAACAGCTTCTATCTAAGAATCCTAGATCCCCAACCCAGATCTACTGTTTTACAATCCCAACAAATCAACAAAAATTTCTATTTTAACTTAAGAAGTTAAAATCTTTATGCTGACCAAAAACATTAACAACGCTCCCAAAACCTTCTGCCACTTGCATACAGTGTTTTATAGGCACTTACCTGGTTTAAACAAATACATAATCACATAGAGATTGCACTGACCCACAGCAAAGTCTATTTTAGTTCAAAGGTAATTTAAATGTGAACTTAATAAACTTAAATATTATATTCAATTGAGGGGATTAGATGGGGGCATGTACTTAATATCTGAGACTCAAAAAAAAAAATCCACTAAAAAGCTATGGTCAACACCTTGCCCTAATGTTCAATCCAATCGTTTGGATTTACAATTCTTGTTCTATTGAGTAATTTTGACTTCTTACAAACAGTTTGTTATTAACATTTTCCAGAAAACTAGCTTCAACCACAAACTTCTCTTTCCACGTAGTATATCACACGAAACAAAACAGTGCTGCAAACCTTTCAGTGAGCAGAACACACTATCTAGATTTGATAACAGCTGGCATTCTGCTAGATTTAATCCTTCCAGCAAACCGATAAGTGCTACCAGTATTCCTATTGTGTGACTCAGGGCATGTGGGCACAGAGATTCTGAGTAACTTTCCCAAGATCCCTGGTGATGATGGAGCCAGATTTGACCCGCAGCAGGCAGAACCTAAAACTCGCTCCTCACAAAGAGGAAATCCTGCCTTTCCACTCATACTGTCATGCAAAATAGCTGTTTTTATTTTTCAGGTTTGTTGTGTGCAGTTTTAGCTGTTGATTACTTATGCTGGTATGTTAAAATTATGTCCATTATAAATTGAATTAAAATAATGATGCTTTTGGTTTAAAGAAAAACAGCTGTTTTCAGAAACTGCTGGTCGTTCTCCTGCCTGATGTTGACATCATGTTTTCTTTCTCTGTGTTTAGCTACCTCTGACCGCCGGAGGCTGTGTGTCTTCTCTGTCAAAGGCTGGAATCGGCCTCCCAGGAGTGCGGGCCCTGTCCTCGTCTTAGGACCGGCGTCCTACCTCCAGGCTGAAGACCGGACAAACGCGATGACTATCTTCCCGGTCTAACCAGGACTGCAGGAGACGGAGATTCCGGGATGCGGGACTTTTGAGTGCAAAACTGGGAAGTTCCAATAAGGACTTCGGATCGGGTTCTGATCAGGTTCAAACCAGAGCGAGTTGGTCGCCCAGTAAATTGTACCAAATGTTCTGCAGTAATAACTAATGACAGTGCATGATATAAATAAATGCGACAGACAGTGTTTTTAAACTACTCAATAAATCAGCGACTTGTATCCAGAAATCCCTCCATTAAATAACATTACTCTCCTTTTCTGCTGCCACGATTCGGGACTGTCCTGAGTCTGCCGCAAGTGGCCAGAGGGAGGAAAGGTCCCAGGGCGGTGCATAACAAGCGGCTGCGACTCCCCAGTCCTCAACTTTGCTCTCAAGTGCGCTCCGAGCATCACCTGGCGCTGCCCCCGCGCCGTCTCGTGATCCGACACAAACCACCGTGCGCGGGGCTCCCCGCGCGAGCACCCCGTCCCCCATCGGCAACGCCGACTGCGACCCCGACCCCGACAGTGCGCGTGCCGCCGCACTCACTTGTAGGGCACCGGCCAGTGGCGCCGGGAGAGAACGCCCGAGGCCCGGGGCCAGCCCGGAACCGCCGCGAGCCAGAGCAGCGCCACGGCCGGGCACCAGGAAGCGCGTCCCCGAGCCGCGCCCGCGCCCCGCCGCATCTTGGCGCCCTGTGCGGTGTCTAACTCCGGCGCCATCAGGCTGCACCCAGTGCTTCCGGATCCTCTGGAGGCCTGCGACGCCTGAGGGAGGAGCATGCGCGGAGCCGCCAGCCCAGGACGCGGGACGCCCCACCCCGGCGAGTCAGGCCCAGAGCTTGGCAGCAAGCGCAGGTTCCGGCGCGTGACGCCTCCCCGCACCCTGCCCGCGGCGGCTGCCGCACTTTTCAGTCCAGGAAGGCGCTTTGGTCTGGCTCCCAGGAGAATTCGATCCAGACCTGGGGCCTCTTCTTTTATGAACTGACCTCTCCCTGCCCAGCAGCCACCACCAAAACCAAACCAAAACCGAAAATCTGTCACTGGGGCTCCTCCCAACACCGAACTTTTACCCCATCACACAGGGCCCACGCTAGGTGTCAACAAACGTTGAGTGAATGAGAATGTGTATTTGGGGCTGAGGGTGCGGAGCTGGGGGTGCAGTAAGGAAGAAGAGACAATAGTGGGGAAATGGCTTGTCCTCACCCGACCTGGGCCGGTGATAACAGTGGTTAACACTGACAATATGTGGTCCCTGCCACTCCCCAAGAGCTTAGTGGGGAAATGACTTGTCCTCACTCGACCTGGGCCAGTGATAACAGTGGTTAAACACCGACAATATGTGCTTCCTGCCAGTACCCGAGTGCTCCCGAATCCACCCCCTCCCCTACCGCTCCCGCCACCGGCAGGTGTTCCTTGCTTGGATCTGTCACTTAACTGGAAAGAAGCTTCTGCATCACCTTCTCTTCTCTGACTCTTCAACCATGTCGAGAAAACAATGGCATCAATTACCTGACTTTTGAGGAGCCTCTCATGGCTTGCTTTGCTGTTAGGCACAAATACTGACTTAAGTCTGTACGTAGTCCATTCAAGGCCTTGCCATAGTCACTTGTTTTTACCAGAGAGCAGTTTTGCAGAGCCTTAGACCGGGACTTTCCAACTCTTTCACTTCACCCACAACTCGTGTGAAGCATCATAATGTTTGTAAGGCTATGGGAATAAGCAAGGTGGCTTCGGTAGCCAGGGATGACCACCACAATCCATTGGAGGGTGTGTGGCTTGTAGGGGTGTCACTGACTTCCTTGGGCCCTCCAGATCTCTTCCACAATCCGTTGGAGGGTGTGTGGCTTGTGGGGGTGTCACTGACTTCCTCGGACCCTCCAGATCTCTTGATTACAGATGGGACTGAGTACCCTGCCCTGAACACACACTCCTTTGCCCACTTGCTGCACCAGGTGCGAGGCTTCTGCGAGGTTCAGACCGGGCTGCATTTTCCCACACATCTGTCTGAGCGTTTTGAAAGCTACCTAGCTCTCCTCCCTATACTATGGCCAAATTCAAAACTGCCAAGGCTAAACTGGCTTCTTCAAAGACCTGCCCAAGTAAGAGCGGGAAGCATTCTAGCCCTGAGGGCTGAAATGTAGTATCTGATTTGAAGGGCACCTGAAGTATTCCCTGTGGACCCACACTTGAGCCTCGCTTAAAAAGCAATTAGCAGGAACAGCTTAAAAACAAAAACGAAAACCAACACAAAACAAAAAACAAGAATTAGAGTGTTTACAAATCCTGGAACCATACACTAGAGGGCCACAGTAGAACCTCCCATTCAGTTCAAGACTTCCCAGAGCTACAAAAACAAATTCAGGTTGACCTGGTTCAGTGGTGGAGACCTCTGGTCCTGCTTCTGCTGTCTCTGTCTTCTCACTCTGTGTGTGGGGAGCTCTCATGGTAAGAAAGCACTTCCTGGTATTGGATTTATTTATTTATTTTTTTGGAAACGGAATCTCCTTCTGTCGCCGAGGCTAGAGTGCAGTGATGTCATCTCGGCTCACCGCAACCTCCACTTCCCAGGTTCAAGCAATTCTCGTGCCTCAGCCTCCCTAGTAGCTGGGATTACAAGTGTGTGCCACTTGTAATTTATTTATTTATTAGAGACGGTGCTTCACCTTCAAGTTGGCTCCTCGGTCCCAGGAACACCATAGCCAGAGGCCCCTACCTCAGAATTATTTTCAGCTTTGAGAGCCAGATGTGGTGGAAGAGGCCCTCCCATGGTTGTTGGTAAACCTCCTTCAGCATTTACTGTAGTGTCAGGAGTATCAGTAAGTGGGGCCAGAGATGCTACCCCAAAAAGCTGGAACTTCTTCACTCTTTATTTCATTTATTCAAACCAAATAGTTAACAAAGTCTCTGCCAGCATTGCTCTGTGCATCTTTTTTATTGGTGGAATTTCCTATGCCAGTGTAGTTATACCCTTCCACCCGAACCTCACACATGAATTTCTGCCTATTTTTGTTCCCCAATGCTCTAATTTCATAGGATGGGGTCATCTTCCTTTTGCCACGCCAGACATAGAGAAAATTTTTAACATCACCCATGATTTAAGTATCTTCTTCGGATCAGCCTACGCTTCCTGGTGCCCAACTCTTAGGACCATGTGGCTCTGGCCTTCCACGGAGACAACAGAGACACACACAGCAACTTGCATAAAGGAATCGGCAAAAATAAAAAATAAAAAATTTTAAGGAGAAAAGAAAGGAGGTTGTTATGACACTTTATGATTTGCTGTGGTTTGAGAGAAATATTGTTTTCTGGTAATTTTGAGGCTAGTTTTATCAGTCCGGGCTAATGAATACCAGGGCAGATTAAAGTCCAAGCTGATTTTTAGTTTCTCACTTACAATCTCATTTTTTAACCTAAGCCGTAAAAAAAATAATCCGAAAAAGAACCTCAACAAGTTGCCCAAAAACCCCCGCCCTAAAAAAAACAAATTTCCAACCCCTTTTTTTTGGAAGAAAAGGGCCCAACTTGCCACCCAGATTGGAGTGCAGTAGTGCAATCACAGTCACTGCAGCCACAGCCTCCTACCTCAAGTGATCCTCCCATCTCAGCCCCTATAGCAGCTGGACTACAGGAATGTACCACCATGCCCAGATAATTTTAAATTTTTTTGTAGTAATAAAGAGTCTCACTATGTTCCCAAGCTGGTCTCTAATTCCTGGGCTCAAGCGATCCTCCTGCCTTGGCCTCCCAAAGTGCTAGAATTAAAGGCATGAGCCTGGCCCTGACACAAATAAGAGGTTAAGAAAATCTTGAAGGTAACCAAAAATTAACGAACCCCCAAAGTGTTTCTGAAACTTGGATATACTTACCTGTTGTTTACATGATTAACTGGTCTAAACAAATACATCAACTATATGTAGGTTCTATTTTCAGAGTTTTGACAATTTCACTTGCCTAAAGCATAATTTATTTTAGTTCAAAGATAATTTTATTTTATTTTCATTTTTATTTTGAGACAGGGTCTCGCTCTCTTGTCCAGGTTAGAGTGCAGTGGCATGACCATGACTCACTGCAGCCTTGACCTCTCAGGCCCCAGCGATCCTCCCACCTCACTTCCTGAGTAGCTGGGACTACAGGCCTGTGCTACCATGCCTGGCTAATTAAATAAAATGTTTTTGGTAGAGTCCGTCTCACTTTGTTGCCCATGCTGGTCTCAAGCTCCTGGGCTCAAGTAATCCTCTTGCCACAGCCTCCCAAAATGTTGAAATTATAGTCATGAGCCACTATGCCCGACCCAAAGATAATTTTAAAAGTATAATTTAAGTGTGAATTTAATAAAATTAAAATTTATAATATTCACTTAAGGAAGAGATTGGAGTGTGACATCTACTCATTAGGTGACACTTAAAAACAAACTGTGGAGCCATAATGAATACCTCACCCTGATCCTAAATCGAGTGATTTGGATTTATAATCTTTCACTTGTTACATGTTTTAGACAATTCTTTAATCTTGTACTTGTTTATTGAATATATTTTTTAGTTCTGTTGTGATCGGTTTATCAATAGCCTCAAGAAAATCGGCTTCAGAACAAAAACTCTTTTCTTTGTGTTGTTAAATAAAATGTATGAGAGGCCGTGGTTTTGGACTGAGCTCCTGCATTAGGTCGCAACAGATTGAACCAAAATGGGGTCACTTGTGCTAAGTGCCATGTAATCAAGCTGAAACGTAAACAAGAAAATTCCCAAATAGACTGGCTTTTCCCAAAAACAAGAGATTTACAGCAAGCAATCAGAAAAGGCCCAGTCAGCCTGAGTCAGCATGATAAGGAAGTCCTCTCTGCTGTAACCCTTTATAAGGAAAGTAACCTGAAGTAACCTGATGTTAACCAATTCACTTTTTGTATTTCGGTTTCCCTATTTCTGTTCAAGTAACCTTAGGAGAACCAACTGGTCTGCCAGGCTCATTGAAGCTCCCTCTATTTTGAATAGCAACTGCCTGTTTTATGAGTCACTAATAAAAGCCAATTTGACATTTTAATCAATTTTTTTTTTCTTTTTTTGAGACAGAGTCTTGCTCTGTAGGCCAGGCTGGAGTGCAGTGGTGCGATCTCAGCTCACTGCAACCTCTGTCTCTCGGGTCCAAATGATTCTCCTGCCTCAGCTTCCGGAGTAGCTGGGATTACAGGCATGTGCCACCAGGCCCACATAATTTTTGTAGTTTTAGTAGAGATGGGGTTTCGCCACGTTAGCCAGGCTGGTCTGAAATGCCTGGCCTCAGGTGATCTGCCTGTCTCTGCCTCCCAAAGGGCTGGGATTACAGGCGTGAGCCACGGGTCCAAGTCAAATTTTGTTTTTGTTTTTTTTTAATCAACGTATATCAAGGAAACTAACGTGGTGCAAACAGTGAACAGAAATACACTAGTATCAAGGTTTTGACACAGATGACATATACTATTTTTAATCTTTCCA